CCCTTGAGTCATACAGAGTAGCTGTGCAGTCTTGGCGAAAAGGCGGCACCAATTCTGAGTGAGTTCAGATGCTCGTATTTGCTCGTTCTTCCGTGCTCCTCAGGAAGGTGACCTTGACGATTCTCTTGTTGAAAAATCCTGTATGATAATATTTGGGCTGCGTGGTAGGGCTTACATGCCGTTGCGAAACTCGAGTTGGAATCCTTCGAGACAGCCCGAGACATCTTCCCAGGAATCGGTTTGGCTTGGCGCCGGAGCATCTCGCAGCGCAGCTGGGCCACAAGGCCAGGTTCTGCAACGGCTTCGTACGGCTTGAGGACACGACTAAGAGCCGCTGGCCGACTTCTCCAAACGAGAGCCCCCCTGACTCGAGCAGATTTAGGTCCAAATCCCTACATATTTGGACTCCACACTCACTACACTCCTCCACTACCGACCCGAAGTTGTTGGAAGGATACGGCCTTCGTCCTCCGCTCCGTGCGCGCCGCGCGCGACGGGCGCGACGGGGACCCTGCGGCCCAAGCGGCCGCGAAGCGGGCGATGCCTGGAACCCCAGAGGGATTTGGGGCACCCATGTTTGTATATGGTTTCAGTTCCCCAAGGAGTGTGGAAACACTGTCGGGTTCTTAGGTTCAGAGTAAATCGAACACGCACCCTCGGACCAAAGCGTTTGGACACCGAGCGCCGAAGCTTCAAGGAGGCACCCCGACGACTTGGGCCACTTTGTCCAGGAACCTCAGGCTGCCGATTCAGGGGCATCATTCTACCAGGGTTCAAAAAGGAGGCTCTACCGGGGTTTGTAAATCTCTGTGCTTGTCACTACATGTCCCTTGCTGCAGTCCCATTGCTACCACCAGTACATTTAGAGCCTTGACGATGAGCATGTGCACGATTGCAGGAAATGCGGTCTTAACAAGCAAGAATTCCTACAGAAAAGGAGGTTTCATTCAACAGGCCTAAACCCTGCACCTCGAAGGCTCTGAGCCCGACGGCAGCTCAAAGCTTGCGGTGCGCCGCCGGAGCCCAAGACAGGCAACAGTTCGTGTGTAGCTCAACGAACCCCAAACAGGTATCCTGCATGTGCTTCCCTCATGCGGGACTGTGCGCACTCCCTCGAGCCTTGTTCTTGTCGTTTTCTGCTAAGCGGAAGGTGTAAGCTACAAGTTGCAGATCATCTTCAAGACCAGGACCACGACCACCACTACCACCACCCCAACCCTTTTCTACCATAACTGCCGTTTCCACTACCCAATGCCCGCTACTGCCCAATACTACCCACTAGTAAGCACTACAATGCTACCGACTACTAGCCATTACTTGGCAGCACCACCACCACTACCGCACACCACCTCCCACGCCATCCCACTACCGCCCTCTACCACCCACTACCACCCACCGTCTCTCACTACAACCCATTGCCATCCATTCAGCCACTATCCACTACCCAGATCAATCACAAGAGTACTAAATAACCGAGCAACAGCTAGGCCCTGCAAGTACAGCCTCGAGCCCCATGCGTGAGATCGCAGTCTCAGGCCAAGATGAGGGGTGATCCGGAGACCTGACCTCGGAAGGGAAGGGGGCCTTTCTTGGGTTTGGGCCGTGATCAGGGTCGCGTGTTCTAGTCTTGTAGTGTTTCATTCGGTTTCATAGGCTCGGTATTGCGCAAACCTGATAGGGGCCACGAACCC